TGCCTTTTCTGGAACTTCATATAAATGGAGCCATTGAATCTGGCTTTTGTCTGGATGCATGTATGTTTTAGCGTGTGGCAGTTCATTATCTTGTGCAACACTGCATGGTGTGACTATATCACACAGTATGGGTCTACTCAAACGTTAGTGGACATGTGGGCTGTTTGCAGTTTTCAGCTAATACAGATAAAGCTGTAGTGAACATTCTTACCTGTGTTTTTGATGGACATCAACAGTTCTTTGGGGCACTTCTACATCATAGGCCAGTGATGGCGAACCTTTTAGAGCTTTCAGTGATACAAACAGCCCGCTGTGGCACTTGTGCCATAGGCTTGCCACCACTATCATAGGATATATGTTTATTTAGCTTGAGTATACCTAGTTGTAGTCCTCCAAAGTCATTCTATTAATTGCTTTCCTACCAGCAATCTGTGAGAATTCCATTTATTCCATATTTGCATTGACGTTTGGAAATTAGTTGTTAATTTCAGCCACTCTAGTGAGTATGTGGTATATCTCATAGTTTTAACTTGCATTTTTCTGAGGACTAAATTAAACTAAAGTGTGTATTTGGTTTTTTGCATTTGTTTTGTTTTATTATACATTTTTAAGCTCCTGCCCCAGAATATGTTGGTTTATTGAGTGTCCTGTGGAGGGGGGCCCAAGTACTTACGTTTCTAAAATACCGCACAAATGAAGCAAATGGCTGTCATACCTCTGGATAAGAATTATGGTATTTGTCAACATTGCCCAAGGATTTATTTTAAAGTCTCCAAGAATATTTTCACAATCTACTAAGGAAAGAGGACAAATAAGATATTATTTCTACTTGAAACACATTCAGTATATTGTGCAGTGAATAAGGATCTGCAGTAGGTGATTAAATAAGCTGGAGAAACTGCAGATTGGTTCACTGACAGCTGCTGCTACTGCTGTTTCCTGTTTGCATCCATTTACTAGACTTAGCTTCATAAAACAGTCTTTCATAAAAATGGTGCATTCAGAAGTGAGGAGATGGTCATGCTGTTTGCTAAGGTAAGTGTAAATCTATTCAAAATGCTTATCTTTACAGAAAGAAAAATTTTACAATGCATACCATAAATCAGTAATCAAGAAAAACAGTAACCTTGACCTGTTTACCTTTCATTGTGAACATAAAGGTAAATGTTTGACAGTGGAAACTTTAAAAAAGTACTCTAAGAGCAGACATAGGCCATCTTCAGAGAAAAGAATCTCATCTGGTCTCCTGACAAAAACGTGGGGCTACACCACAGTTTTATTACAGCAAGCTCAGGGTATTCCTAGTAAGTAATGGCTACAAATTCAGAGAACCTCATACGTCAACTTTGCAACATTCTACTTTACCAGTAAGAAAAAGTAGAATTACTTCTTAAGGTGAAAACTCTTGTGCCTTTTTTTTTTTTTGTAAAAAGAAAAATAAAGTTGGGGTTTTGTTTGTTTTATTTTGGTGTCTAATGCTCAAACTCAAGCCCTTGAATATATTAGGTAACCACTAACCACTTGGCTACATTCCCAGCCCCAACAATAATTATTTTGAATATTTAGCAGTATTATCTAGAAGTATCATGGTTCCAAATAGGATAAAACTATATTAAGTGAGGGGTTATATGGATCAGTTTATTGTTTGTGCATCTCATCAACTCATCATCTGCATCTCTTCGCTGAAAGCTGATTCACAGAAAGGCTTTTTTCAGCAATGCTTACTAGCTTTCCAAGTAAATTTCAATTAGGAGTTTGCTCCAGTAGCTTATTGGGTCTTTAATGGCTTTAATTATACTCTTCATGCCTCCTGAATGAAGAAATGGGAAATGATCTTACATGCACAAGCAAACCCTAAACCAGTGTTTGATTCTTAGAAGCTTAATACTTGCATTACTTAGAGCAGTAAATCAGAAACTCTTGCAAGGCAGAAAGCAGAATGGTCTGTTCTATTACTGGTAGTGTAGAATAAGGTGTAAATCACATATCTTTATATGGTGGAACAGAAGTTCCTTATTCAGAGCAGTTGTTTAGGCTTAAAATTTTTAAGTTAGAGAATATTTAGACTCAATACAGTGCTAATATTAAAATTTGCAGAGCTTAGTTAACATGAGTAAAATTATCCCAAGGAGTAAAATGTTAGAAATCGTGCATTTTGTGGGCCCAAAGTGATAGAATGATCTTTGCTTCCCTTTGTATTAGGCCTTTGTATGCCAGTATTGTCTGGAATGATTGGGGTTGCATTGCAAAGCTGTTTAACACGACTTTTCTCTCTAGTGCTTGCTAGTGAGCGTGATGAAAGTGTTTCTCTCTAGTTCTTGCCTCTTGGAAGCTACATCCAAGCATAAGTCTTCAAATATTGTGAACAAAATATTTTTGAAAAAAGAATCATTTAATTCCTGGCTTCTTTTCAGAAAATTGAGACCTTGAAGATTTAAAGAGGTAAAATACTTTCATCATTCACAGATAGAAGTAATGGAAGGTTAAAAATGAGATGATCCCATTGTGTTAATAAAGCAAGGTCAAATAAATATATCCTTGGTTGGGCAATTTCCCTTTCAAACTCAATTCAGTTAGTGTATAGCCATCAAGTGTAGAAAAAATACTGAAGGAAAAATGTATACATGGAAATCACTTGGAATAATTATTGCTGGAGTTACAGTGGAAAGCTAGAGTATGTATGATTTTTTTTTTAATAGTGAAATGTTTCCAGTTATTTTGTTTTGGTTAAAACAAAAAAATTGAACTAGATTGTTGAGTTTTGCCAGATACTCAAGTACACTTGTAGTGAATATACCCTGAAGGACACATTAACTGCTTTCTGATCTTTTTTCCTCCTCAAATGTTGTATATATTTTCCATAAATTCATCTTCAAAACATAAATATCTTTCATAGTTCTCTTAAATCTGAGTTGCATTTAATCTGTGCCATTTTAAATTCCCTGAAAGAAAATCTCTGTATATTTGCAATTGAACCAAAAGAGTAAAACATTTCATAGGGTATGTTTTATACATCACTTAGACAACAAATATTTATGAATATCCTCTGAAATTATTATATAATGTTATATAAATGTCTAAATGTTTATTTTTATGTCACTGCCATTTTTGTTTAAATAAAAAAGTATTAACTCTCTACCGAAGGATTTTGTTGCATAAACCTGTGTGAAGACTTGACATTGCCTGAAGCATCGCAACGATAAAAAGAAATTAGCCCAACTTCTATTTGCTCGGGTCTAATTCTCTAATTGAAAGAAGTTTCCAGACTTCATTAGCATCTAACACACAGAAGCAAATCCCAGACGATACCAGCAAGGGAATGGGTCCCTCAGTGTTCTTAGTACCCTTTGCTTTCCTCTCCTCTAGTTTGACAGAAAGTGCTGAGTGAGTTTCTGCTCTGTGACTGAAACATTTTCTTCAGCATCTTCTATATGTAAGGCACAGTAAACTTAGCAGAGCTGATCCTTTTTGTGGTATTGGGACCCACAGTTGGAGAAACATTGTTAATATTCAGGCTTCCCAATTAGGATTCAACCTTCACTCTTTAAGAGGAAGAGTTGTAAAAGGAGCTCCATGGACTTTGTCTTGGCGCATGTATGAATCTTATTGTTAAATACATAAAGGCATTATGAAAAGTGTTCCGATGTATTTCTAAATGTCTAGAGAAGACAGAGCTGATATTTAGCCCTCTGTAGTGAAGTAACAGGACAAATGACCTGCCTTTGATTCTGTTTGGTGTAATATCATCTCCTTACCTTAATATTTAAGCATCTTTTACCTAGTGTAATGTAAAAATCTGTTTCAACCGGCCTTTTCTGTTCTAATATAAACAGGCAACAGACAAACATTTTTATATATGAGCATTTGCCATTTTCTGCATTATTTATTGTCTTGTATTTCTTTTTTCTTTCTTTCTTTCTTTTTTTTTTTTTGGTACTGGGGATCAAACTCAGGACCTTGCGCTTGAGAGCCAGGAGCTGGAACCACTGAGCTAAATCCCCGGCCCAATTACCTTGTGTTTCTAACCGGACTCACAGAGCATATTCCTTCTGGACTCTTAAAATATTGCTTAATTATGTCAATAATGACAGAGGGATTTTTATTTCTAGATTTTCAAATTACTTCCTTTTGTACAATTTCTCTTTTTTTATGTGTCTTCTCAAAACATAGTTAAGGGCTTAATAAATTTCTTTGCTTGCAAACTCCCTTTTAATGAAAATTTGCAAAAGAGGCTGTGAGCTTTAAGCCCTTTCCCTAAACATTGATAGAATCCATTTTCACCAGTGCCAGCATTAAAAATCCCGATAGAAGTGAAAAGAAAAGAATGAGCAACGAAATAAACCTAGGGTAAAGAGTGCAGGCTCATATTCACAGCAGCTTGGGTCTGTTAAGTCCATGTCATCAAATAGGTCACCCTAAAAGGTTGGCTTGGCTTAGGAAGCACCTTGTTTATTATCATGGAAAAAATAAAACTGCATCTTGTGCTAAGACTATAGAATGGCTTCCTTCCCCACACCCCAAAACTAATAATTGTCCAAAGCAAGGTTAAACTTGGCTTTTTTTGAGCATATGGGCAGAAGGAAGACTCCTATTTTTTTTCTTTCAATTTTTAGTGGTACTGGGGATAGAACCCTGTGCCTCATGCATGCTAGGCAAGCACTCTACTACTGAATTACATACATCCCTAGTCCTTTTTACTTTTGTTTATTTTGAGACAGGGTCTCACTAAGTTTCCCAGGCTGGCCTCACACTTGGAATCCTCTTGTCTCAGTATTTCAAGTAGCTGGAATTTTAGATCTCTTTGAGAAGAACCAGTTACTTCTTATAGCCATAATGCCTCTTCAGTATTGTTTGCTGTAAGTGACATTGCCATGGTTTTTTTTTCCTGTTTTGTGTGTTGAAACAGAAGTATTTCCAAACTTTAAAGTAGCTTTGTATAACCCAAACAGTTGCTTTTTTCTTAAAACGTGATCAACATTGATAGTACTCTGGCATTGCAGATCCTGTGAAGCCGCCCAGCAGCTCCTTACAAGCACCTGCTGATCAAGCTTTCACTATAAACACAGTGCCATCCTCCACCCAGGCGGATCCTTCCCCTGCTGCTCTACCCCCTCCATATCAGCTCATCAGCCTCCCACCACACCCGGAAACTCTGGGCATCCAGGAAGACCCTCAAGACTACCTCTTGCTGATCAACTGTCAAAGCAAGAAGCCTGAACCCACCAGGTAAATTGTGTCTGCTTTTTGAGCCTTGATTGAAGGCTTAAACCATCTATGTGAGCTTAGATTGCAAGCTTATATCTTAGATTTATATTCCTCTATTAATGATTGCTAATACTCAGGAGATTTATTATTATTATTATTATTATTATTATTAAAGAAACACAATCTCTGCCACTTTTGGCAGAGAACAGTTGTACCCACCAGACTCTTTTGGAAATCTGGCTACTGTTTCACACTCTTTGTTACAGACTCACAGTATTACTTGCTTAACAGATTTCACTGATTTATAAATGGTGATCTTGCTCCATTTCTTATGTGATTGTAAACCAGCCAAGGGTCATCTTTTGTTTCTGAAGAAGGAGAGGAATACCTACTACTAGAAGATTTTGAAAGCAAAACGATTCCATTGCAGTGAGTGTATTGTAGTTGTTTTGAATCCGTGTGAGAAATTAATCATTCAGGTAAAATCCCAATATGGCAGATTCTATCGAATGTACAAATTGGGTTTTAGTGAAATTTGATGAAATCGAATATATTACTAAAAGCTATGGAACGTTCAGATTTCATACCTAGGAATGAAGCAGCACTTACCCCAAGCCTTGATTTTTTTCCCATATACTCTTCCTACTTAAAAGTTTGTAATGCAGTGCTTGACTAAAGGGCCCATAAAGCCTTTCCTAAACCTTTGGTACACTGCCGTCTCCTTCTCTGCTCTCTTCTAAGCTATAAAAAGTTTTACCTTACTCATCTTTGGCATTTGACCTTGAGTAGTTGGAAGGCTTAAAGGGACAGAAGGAGTCAGAGAGCATTGCTTTCCTGTTTAAAAAAGAAGCAGGAAAATGTTCAGCAGGCTAGCCTGAGCCATTAACAGCTATGTGACCATTAGCGATGATTAATGATACTGTTATCAATGAGGTGTGTTTATTTACAATAGAAAAATGGAGGAGAATTGGATATTACAAATAAATGATTTTTTTTTTCCAGTACTCGGGATCCAAACCAAAACTTTCACACTGAACTACATACATTCCCAGCCCTTTTAATTATTTTTTCATTATTATTATTATTACTTTTTTTGAGACAGGATCCTACTAAGTTGTTTAGGTGGGGCTCAGTCTTATGATCCTCCTGCTTCAGCCTCCCAGAATGCTGGGATTACAGCCATGCATCACCATACCTGGCTAAAAGATATTTTTTAAAATTATTCTATTATTTTTACAACAAAGTAGTTTTTTTACTGTTAAAAGTAATTGTTAATGGGCTAGGATCAGACAGAGCCCTTGTTAAAATATTTTTCCTTGTTAAAATTTTCTACATAGAATTTGTTAATATCCACAAGGTAATTTCTGTGACCCATTCCTTCAGATGCTGGACACACTCCATACATTCCAAAGTTGTTTTTCTGTGTATTTGTTGTAATGGGATTTTACCTGTAAGAGCAAGGAAATCATATAAATCAACACTAGTCAATAATATCAAATCCTAACCTGATTGTGCTTGTATGCTGTGAGTACTTTAAATCACACACTTGCAACTTTGTCACCTGTGCTACTAACTAAGATTTTATTTTCCAACATCGTTTTTTAAAAGCCAACAGCTAAGTGAGTTTCTCAGTACATTTCCTTTCATATAATGTTTTTCATGGATTTCACTGGCATCATAGCTTTCCTTGTTGCAGTAGAAATTATTACCCAGATATATTCTGCCATTTAGATTTTGCAGAAGTGGCAGTTGAGTAACAAGTATTTAGGAAGTATGTACCATGTGCCCACTGTTAGGCTAGGTGCTATGAAGGTACAAACTAATTGTGTAAAATACAGTCCCCTCAGAGACAGTTGCCTGTGGAGTTTGCAATAAGGGTTGTTAAGATGTCACAGAATGTGAGCGTTAAGTATTTAAAGATGAAAACAGTAGGTGACTGTTGCCCTGCAAACTCTTGTTCATTCTATAGGATTCAGCTCATGTAGGAAGCATTTCCCCAAACTGGGGTTGGATTAAACATCTCTCCAGGTTTTTATAGCATGGCAGTTGTGCCTCTGTATCTCTCCCATTTCGTAGTATTAAAAATAGCTTGATAGTTTTACTTATTCTCCACTAACCTATAAGCTAATTAGACCAGGAAGCTTTTCTTATTACTCGTTATACCTTCTGCATTTGAATTAAATGCAGTGCAAATTTGAGAGTGTGCATAGATGCATTAGAAATTTCACCAGCAGATAGTGCAAGTGTTTTTAAGATGGAGAAATCATCAAGAAGCTTCATAAGAAGATTTGAACTACAAGAAAAGGAATATCATCAGTAACTTGTGCAAAAATCTTTCGAGGGAAAGGAAAGGTGAGAGTGAGCATGGTGGGAGGAAGACATTGAGAAGGGGAGCCTGATTAGGAAAAGGTTTTGATTTGAGGAGCAATAGGACATGCAAAGTGGAGCCAGGTTACTAGAGTAGTAGCCTCAGTGCCGAGTGTGTTACGTTTTGACCTTGTAGTTTCCACACCCTATGGAGACTTACTGGTTTCTCTGAATAGGTGAATAATATAAAAACTATATGTTGAAAATATTGATCTTATAGCATATAGTATAGTCCCAGGGATAGATTAGAAAAGGGGGCACTAGAGTGAAGTCTAGTTAGGAAAGTTGAGTACCATAGATGTCATGTGAGACAGGGCCTTGAACTTGGGGTGGTGGTGGTAGGAATAGATATGTGGGTTATGAAGGACTTGGGACTCAGTGCCCGAGTGATGGCGAGTGTCAAAGAGAGGATCAACCTCATTGCATTTAGAGCCTAGAGAATCTAGAAAAAGGCATTTGTGTGGGTGTAAGAAGAGCAATCAGTTTGGGAAGTTAGATTTGACTTGGGCCATATGAGCAAGGTCATACAGGGATAAATAACCAAGTAGAAATACCAGTTTGAAAATATGGGGCTCCCAGTGTGCTGAGAAGATGGGCATTGTCAGCATTCAGAGAAGAAAGTGAAGGGTTGAAAAAGGAGGATTTTCTCATGCCGTAAGTAGTCAAGGGTAGTGGAGAGACAGGAGGAAGGAGCTAGTCACTCAAAAAGGAGAATGATCGTATCTGGAGAAAGAAAACCAGGACAGCACAATATGTTACTGTGGTAGCAAAGGGGTAGTAGACTTTGCATGAGAAATGAATATGCAGTGCCAGATGTTACCAAGAAGTCAGAGAGGGTAAGTCCTTAAAAAAAAAAAAAAATATATGGCCAGGGATTTAGCTCAGTGGTTCCATCGCCTGCCATGTAAGCGCAAGGTCCTGAGTTCAATCTCTGGTACCAAAAAAAAAAAAAAAAACCAACTATCGAAGTTATTTAAAGAACTATTGTTTCAATTTCTACAGGAGTTTGGACAACATGTTTCGGTAGTTCAGCCATCTTGTTTTATCATTAAGGAGATGGGAGTATTCTTATATTGTTAGCTTCACCTTGACTTATAGTGAAATTTTATACCTCAAAATGTAGAAACTGAAAATGTACCTAAAGTAAGCATATCCCCAAGTGAGATTCTCAAAGTTAATTATTGTTTCAAGTTGATTAACTCTATCCCATGCATTTTGATCCTCTAGTATAGGCAAAGTATTTGTTAAAGAAAATTAGTAGAAGGGAAGAGACATGAAACCTATTAACTCGTTACCTCTTTGTAGGTCATGTTGAATTTATCCAGGTCCAAGTAATCACTTGACTTTTAGTCTTGCAGAACAACAAGTTTCCCACTGGCAGGTTAAATAGCAGTGGATCAACTTTATAAACTTGACTGGCACCAAGTTTTTGCATTCTCTTCATAGGAAGTGATTTTCCTTATTGTCTACACCTACTTCATTTTCCTTTCCCAGAGTTTTGTAATATCTAATTCTACTGCCTCCTGGATTATGGGTTTTATGTGCAGATCTCCTTGGTAGATTTAGTGGTGTGAGCAGGTACAGAAAAAAAATTAGAATGCTTCTGGTGGTTTGTGGTGGTGGTTTTGTTGTCTGCTGTATAATCATAAAAAACTAAAGGACATTTGTGTTTTAAATCTTATGGGTCACACAAAAAAAATCTAAGAAGAAAACAGATATTTTGATTGCTCAGCTGTAAATATGCTTGCCAAAATAATATGATGTCTTGACCATGTTTTATTTTTGTCGTTAACAATTTTGATTTAGAACCCATGCTGATTCTGCAAAATCCACCTCATCTGAAACGGACTGCAATGATAACGTCCCTCCTCATAAAAATCTTGCTTCCTCCCAGAGCAAACATGGAATGAATGGCTTTTTCCAGCAGCAAATGATGTATGACTCTCCACCATTACGTGCTGCATCTGTCTCTGTAGACTCCAGCCTTTATAACCTGCCCAGGAGTTATTCCCATGATGTTTTGCCAAAGGAGTCTCCATCGAGTACTGAAGCAGATGGAGAACTCTATGTTTTTAACACCCCTTCTGGGACATCAAGTGTAGAGACTCAAATGAGGCATGTGTCTATTAGTTACGACATTCCTCCAACACCTGGTAATACTTACCAGATTCCACGAACATTTCCAGAAGGAACCTTGGGACAGACATCAAAGCTTGATGCTATTCCAGATATTCCCCCACCTCGGCCACCGAAACCCCATCCAACTCATGACCGTTCTCCTGTGGAAACGTGTAGTATCACACGCACAGCCTCAGACACTGACAGTAGTTACTGCATTCCCACAGCAGGGGTGCCACCATCACGAAGTAATACCATTTCCACCGTGGATTTGAACAAATTACGAAAAGGTCAGCTCCTGCCTGCTTCTGCTCCATTAGAGGGTAGTGATGGGATAATTGTTCTGATGTTAAATGGGAGCCCTTTTTCCCTTTAGCTCTGCAGTTACCCACTCACATAGCCAAGATATCAGAGACTTAGTAGATCCCTGGAAAGGTGTGTGTGTGCGTATGTGTGTGTGTGTGTGCGCGCGCACACACATGCACGTGTTTTTGTGTGGATGTATGTGTGCATTTGTGTATGTGTGAATGGATGCTGTACTGGAAGGAAAAGAGTGGAGTTTCTCATTCCTAAAGAAGTATGGTCTTAGTCATGCTTTCCTGCCTCAGGAAAATGTACCTCTCTCCCACTTTCTCTGAATCCTGGGTGGTTAGGCTCTGTTGGACAGAGGAGCAGGAAATGGACCAGCCACAAAGCCTCTCCTAGTCAGACTCTTTCCTGTATTTGTATGCCATTACGGCCACTTCGGTGTCACATCTGTCGAGCTGTTTCCTTCCTTCCTATAGAAGCAATTTCTGTGTTGTGTCTAACAGGTGATAATTCTGTTCCAGTCCAGCCCTTATTCTTTTTGCTTGTCTGATTATTTTTAAAGCCCTGAGTCTTTTCTATTATTGCCAGTCACCCTAGTTATTACTAATGGGTATACTTTTCTTATACCATCTCCTAGAGCCTACAATCAAAAGTTAACAATATCAAGAGGGGGGAAAAGTGTGGATTATTTTCTGTAATTCTTAAAAGTCCTAAATATAGAAAGCCAAAGTTCTTAATGCATATGTTCCAAAAACATCTCTGGTAAATTGTCCATATTTTATTGTAGAGTTTTGTGGTGGATAGTGCAAAGGATAGTTTGTTTTTGTTTGTTATTTCCCCATAGTGGGGATTAAACCCAGGGCTTTGGGTGTGCTAGCCAAGCACCTAGCCACTGAGCTACATCCCTAGCCTTTCTAGCTATCTTAAAGAAGATGAAAGTTTAATGTAGCTTTAAAAATATTTTACTAGTAACTCATTTAACTTTTCAACATCAATTCCATAGTCCTTTCTTATTATTTTTTGTTTGTTTGGTACCGGGGATCGAACTCTGGTCCTTGTGCTTGCACAGCAGGCAGTGAAACCACTGAGCTAATCCCCCGGCCCCATAGTCCCTTCTTAAAGTGACTGTATAAGCTGGTTATTGGTTAGTGTGATATAAGTTAAATACATGGTAATGCAAAAAAAGAGAAAATTAGAGGCACTGTTTATCTTCTTCATCCTTATATTTACAATCCATATCATCCCAGGCCTAGAAATTCACTTTCTTCCATAATCAGATACTGCTGTTGGTTAGTTTATCAGTGTGTATTATCTGCATTTTCTAGTAGTTCCATATGCCAAGTTCAGATACTATTCAGTGAGCATTCTTTTAAAAGTCTGTGTAAGTGTGTGTGTGTGTGTGCGCACACATATTCATGGAATTATGTGTATAAAGAGAGAAGGAGAATAGGTCATTCCTGATTACCCTGAGAACCTGCAAAGATGGGAAGAAGTGCTGATAGTTTGTTCTTTATTCTAGATGCTGGTTCTCAAGACTGCTATGATATTCCACGAACATTTCCAAGTGATAGATCGAGTTCACTTGAAGGCTTCCATAACCACTTTGTAAGTATAATTGACCTTGGCATTGTCAAGAGTATTTCATTGTCAAAATTTTCGTGCTTATTAGCTCAAGGCTAAATGAGATCATGAAACGAAAGTACCTTCAGCTCTATATGAATGGATGTGATAATTGTATTTCCATGTTTGTCAGTAGCTTTTGTTTATTAAAAGAAATGTATGTGTGTTTTAGAAAATCAAAAATGTGTTGACAGTGGGAAGTGTCTCAAGTGATGAACTAGACGAAAACTACGTCCCAATGAATCCCAACTCGCCACCACGACAACATTCCAGCAGTTTCACAGAACCAATTCAGGAAGCAAATTATGTGCCAATGACGCCAGGGACGTTTGATTTTTCTGCATTTGGAATGCAAGTTCCTCCTCCTGCTCACATGGGCTTCAGGTCCAGCCCCAAGACCCCTCCTAGAAGGCCAGTTCCTGTCGCAGACTGTGAACCACCCCCCGTGGATAGGAACCTCAAGCCGGACAGAAAAGGTAAGGGGGGCACAGCAAAGAAAAGACTGGGGCAGTGCAGAGTCCGATCTGCTCTGCGTTTAACTGTCACCTAACTGAACTGATTGGGGACCAGAAACTCCCAAATATTTCCTGCTACTTTGGTCACCCACTGCAGATAGCAATACTGCTATTTGTGGGTTAAAAAAATACCAGATGTTGATGCCCAGGAGATTTATAAATGTCCTGTCTCTAGAGTAGAGGTTACAAGGTAAAATGCCCACAAGGATGAGCAGGCAGCAGGCAGAATGAGCAGAAACCGGATGCTTGCTTGCCCCATCTAAGTGGAGTAACCCACTCCCAGTCTGCTGCAGTCTTTGCTGATTTGGCTCACACAGCCTGACAAGCAAGGAATACATAAAGGATTTTATAGGTATTAGCTCTTGATTTTTACAGTTCTATCAACTAATTTATTTCTTTAAAAAAACACCACAGGCCCCAACTGATGCTTCTGCATACTAGATAAGGCCTTCAGTTGCGATTTTGTAACCCTGTCTCCAGAGTATATATTATCAAAGCACATACAAAATTACTATTGTACTGAATGTAATCATTTTTAAAAAGTGAGAATGTTGATATAATCTTTTCCACTTACCTGAATAACAGCTTTTTAGAAAATATTTTGCCTTGGCTGGGGAATGAATAAATGCTTATAATCTGTTCTGTCATAGTGGATTTCATACATAACATTGTACTGTAAAGGAGCATGGTTTGTTAAGAACTTTCTGTAAAAGGAACTTTTCAGATAAGTAGGTCAATATCAAGTTTTTAAAATTTGGATTTAAGTCATCTAAACACAACCTGCTGTGCTGCAGCATGCTGTTATTGTAGCTTAATGTTGACAACCAAGTAAGTGTCTGGCTCACTGTAGGGGATCTCAGCACATTTGAAGCCTCATGTGCTATATGCAGCTTGTTATGAGTATGTAATGTTCATATATATTTCTCATTTAGTCCAGGCTTAGATCATTAATGCTAATTCTGACTACTAAGTTCCAGTAGTTAGAGACAGAGACTGAGATTCAGCCTCTCTTAAGAAAAAGAGTTTGATTTGGTTTTTATATAAGTCAGGATGTATTTGTGCTGAAACACGAGCATAATCAGAAACAGAGGCAGTTCTAGGGGACGGTTCCCATCTCTCTCCCTCTCTGTTTCTCTTCTCTGCTTCTTCCTGTGGAGGTGGCACAGTTTGAAGAAGGATAGAAGCTTCTGTTTGCTACAGCTCACATGTCCCATATTATCTATTTTATGTATGTAACATGTACTGTAGCTCATAAATACTACATTTGGATAATTATACTTCCATGTCAATACAGCAAAAGTTCTAAGTAGTTTAGTACCTGAGGGATTAATTCCCCTAGTTCTTCAAAACAATCTGAAGTGACTTTACAGTAGAATAGATCACTGTACGTTCTTGGTCACTTGGAAATTATGTTTATTCCTTTAAAAATTAAGCTAATTGGTGGGGAAAAGGGGCTGAGAGAGTTTAGTGGTAGAGTGTGTCCCTAGCATAATAAACCTCTAGGTTCAATCCCCAGTCACACACACACACACACACACACACACACACACACACACACACACACACACAAAACTGAACTGTTCAGAGAACATCCTGAGCTAATTGGTCAGATTATTTGCTTGATATAGTTTTATAGATACACAATGAAATGAGAAAGAGCACCCAGAATGAAACACCCATATAGTTATTGGCAAAATCAAACAATTTTAGCAAAATCATAAAGAGTTTACTAAAACCATAGTACATATTGTAAAAAAGGTTTTGGCTATATTTTTGTGCTAATATACTTTTAAATATATAGGAGAGGAAGTAAGAGAAAATATTTAGGGCAAATTTTATCAACTTACTTTGGAAAGTTACAGCTGTTCAAAAAACAGATTAAAGTCCAGATTCACACCTCAAAACCATGTTTATCCTTAAAAACATAAATTGTAATACATATCTTATTTGGTCATGAAATTCTTTTCATTATTCATAGCATCATATGAATATTTTAATTTCAAATCCTGTGACATCAGATGATGACTTAATCTGTTATTTCAATATCTCTTAAGTAACTCAAACTCAAGAATATTCATGTGAAATATGGCTTGATTAGTTTCAGAGCCCCCCGTAAGCAGTTCAACACCCAGTAGACTGGTAGAAGGGTCTACGGCAAACACGTGACATTCTAGTCTTGTTTATACCTCCAGTTTTAGATGTCAGCTGCTGTAGATTGCAGTACAGATGAGTTTTTCAAATACTTTTGAGTAACTGAAGCTACAGAAATACATAGATGCTCTGAATGCTGACACCTAATGTATTAGCAGGAGGACCGTTTGCCTGTCACCTGGTTTGTGATAGTTATATTTTCACCATCCTATTTCTGTCACTTTTGTAATTGTTTTGAACCAGGTTTTGCATATATTAATAGAAGAAAATTTTAGGGCCGGGGATTTAGCTCAGTGGTTCTGCTGCCTGCCTCGCAAGCACAAGGACCCGAGTTCGATCCCTGGTACCAAAAAAAAAAAAAAAGAAGAAAATTTTAAGCATGGAATGACATATTTGGAAAGCAGATAAGTCACTGGAAATGCAGGGCAGGTTATGTTTTGACTACATCATTGCCAGGTGTTACATTTCTAATGGAAATGTTATTTTGTAAAATTTGGGAAATTTCTATAAAGTATCTATTGTGGCTTCTCTGAAAGTGTTGTATAAACCTCCCATAGTTAATTGCTAACATCATCTAAGCCCTGCTACCCCCATCCCATTTTCTAATGCAGCATAGCAGCTATGAGCACCTCAACTGCTCTCTTTATGCTTCATTTTGTTTGAGTTTGTCCATTCATGCCTTTCTGTAGTACTTATGGACCTTAGTTTTTGTGCTGGTTTTCAAAAGCAGCACAGGGTTTCTTGCAGTGTTTTTTACCCTAGTTTGGTTAAAGTATGTTCAGATCTGAGTCCTTAACCTGCCAGCACCCAGAAGAACAATCCCAGGGTATTTGTTCCCTAGATGAGTCTTTTTTAGGCATAATGATGTATTTACTTTAAATATTTTTTCAAGAGACCCCCCCCAAAGAAATTTCTGAATGCAAATAGAAATTACCTTGCTTTTTTGAAAACCACATTTACACAATAATAAACGTTTAAGAGGATGAATGAATGACACCAGAAATATAACTAGATTTTGATAAACAGGTGTTAAAGCTTGTATCTAAAATCCAGTTTTGGATTGAAATAGTTAGCCGGGCATGGTAGCGCACACCTGTAATTCCAGCGCTCAGGAGGCTGAAGCAGAAGGATCGCCATGAGTTCAGGCCAGCCTGGGGTACATAGTGAGACCCTGTCTCAAAAAAAATTGTTACAGGGGTGCATTTTTATAGCAAAGCGTTATTAATATGTGGGGGTTTTCCTAAGTATTCTTGACATTCAAGTGTGATTATATATATAAAAAAGATCGCATCTGCTTAGTTGAAAGATGAACCTCTTGGACTGCCTTGGCCATATTTGAGATGACTGACTTTTGAAAAACATCTAGTTTTTCCTCTTCCTTTTAAAGGACAAGCAAGGGCTGGGAATATAATGGCCCTGGGTTCAATCCCCAGCAAGGGGGGAGTGGATAAGAAGGATACACAAAAATATATGAGATTAATCAGATTAAATACCAGCTCTAAGAGAAAGGCAGTTAGTTTATTAATATTCATTCATCACAGACTGAAGTGCTTACCAGTTAACAGGGCATACCCTTCGCTAGGCATTATGTCTTCAAACTTACTGAAAGGTTTGCTTTGCTGAAGAAGCACATGATCTAGCAGAGGAGTCAGAAGCGTAAACACATTATCATAATTACCAGGGAAGGGGCTGCGGTTGAGGTAAACCTTTGGCACTCTAAGGGAAGCTCCCCTGAGCAGTCTGTGAGCACATCAGAGGCAATTAAGTGATCATGGAGGAGGGAAGGGTGATGCAGGAGCTTCTGGTTAGGAAAACAGCATCTGAAGATCCTTTCTCAGGTTAAGGGTGATGATTCTGGCTCCAGTCGTGGGTGGGTGGGTAGGTGGCCCAAGAGAGTGGGAAGGAAGGAAAGAAGGAGGAAGGAGTGGCAAATGCCTTGCAGGTGCCTGATCCCAAGGGGGTTATAATCCATGCTAATGAGGTTGGACTTTATTCTCAGTGCCCCATTAAAGGATTTTATGCAGGCAGCTTACGTAATCAGGTTGCCTCTGGAATCCACCTTCTTGTTTAGGAAAACAATAGAAAAACAATAATTGTACTCTCTAACATAAAATGTTATAAAAATCATGCCTCCTGCTTCATTTCCCTTAGAAAGTACTTGCCCAGTTTTCCCAATGCAGGCTTCTTGAAGCTTTGGTTGGGACAGGATCACATCAGAAGGAGATAACAAAAATCCCCTTTCTGGCTTCCTCAACTTGGGGGACTTACAGTGACTTAGGAAAACATGAAGTGCACATTTGGAGAGAAAGAGGAAAGAAATGCAGACGGACATCAGACACGGGTGCCCCACATTGGGCCTGTGCCGTGGCTCCTTCAGCCCGAGGGTCACTTTTTGAAGAAGAAAGTACTCCCACGGCTTGCAGGCTGTCTTCTTTGTCATACTTGGAGTCAGTTCCGTGAAGTAAAAGTCATCTCATTGCTTCTGATGGGTTTTAGCAGGTTTTAAGAGTGACTTTGCCCTCTTGCACGAGAATCCAAAAGGCATGAGAACAAAGCTGGGAGGCTCACGGATTGCTCCGTGAGTACTTTTGCTTCTAAGTAGCCAATGTTTGCTAGGTGACAGTTTGATTTTTTTTATACGTCATGAAAATAGGCTGTAATGATGAGGTTACGGGGCAATATGGTGGAAAAATGTTAGGTCAGTACTCCAAAAGGCTAGAATTTATTGCTTTTAACCTCCCTCCCACTGAATGTCAAAGTAAAAAATCAGTTAATTTCTTTTGACATTAATTTCCGTATTTTAAAACGTA